TAGAGAATTTGAAGTTTGCTGTACAATACAGGGATTAGGTAAAGATCAAGATAGAGCAATTCAGGATTGGTGGAAACAGTGAGGCAAGGAGTTTTATAGGTTATGAACTATGTGATGGTTTCCATTATAGAGTTGATGGGTATTTTAGGAGGATTCTGTAATGAGTATCAAAGTATATCTGGGATATTAAAACAATGCTAATGAGGGTAGTGGAATAGCAAATCTATAGTAACGGAGACAGTAAACTCTGAGTGTGTGTGTGTGTGTGTGTGTGTGTGTGTGTGTGTGTTGGTTCTAAAGCTCCTTGAAGCATAGCTTTCACACTTAAATGAGGACTTGAGCTAAGTGAAAAAGTGCCTAATTTAGCCAAGGACTGATCTCTGCATGCCTCCCCTCCCCCCCCCTCCCCACTGGGGATTGAGCCTGCAACCCGGGCATATGCCCTGACTGGGAATCAAACCATGATCTCCTGGTTCATATGTCGATGCTCAACCACTGAGCCATGCCGGTTGGACAAGTGCCTGGTTCTTTACATAAGGGGAAACTTAAAAGGGGCTCTAGAATTACAGCAGGCTAAGGTGAAATGCCAAACCAGGGCCACCTTGAAGCTGGCATCAGATTCTTGTCTACTTCCAAGCAAGGTGGATTGAGTTACAATGGAACCCAGGAATCTGTGAACCCAGGAGGCTCTGCCAACTAAGGCAAGCAGTCCCGGTTACTTTAGGACAAGGAATCTGTGTTCGGAGGTATTTGATGCTCACCCTTTGATTTTTAATGTGAATGAGGGACTAAGCTGGTGTTCATTGACATCTGGCCTGTCAAGACTGGGCCTTTCAGGTGCCTCTCAAACCTGCTCTGAGGTTTGCAGCTCAGCACAGTCTGAAGCAATCAAGACACATGAAGCCCCTCTCCCCTTCTGCCTCTTTCTGTTCTCTCTGTAGCCAGACCCAAGCTGGTTGAGCTGGATGACATTGGGTTTGCATCTGTGCATCTTGGTTTCAGCTTTACTGAAATCAGGCAATAAAAAAAAATAAAAAAATAAAAAAATAAAAAAGCTGCCGCCACTGATTTTATTAGCGTTAACTCCTTGGATTTGATTTGCTGGTGCATATGCCATTGTTTGTGCTAGATAAATGGGCCGTAGAATTTCCCCCTCCCTGTGAAGTTTGCATTAACAGTGAAGTTCAATTTGATTTAGAAGTAGATGAGTTTACAACCTCAGAGTTGACACTCCCAGAGGGTGGATCTCTGAAATGTGCATCTGTGTCCCAAGAGGGTGATGTCCCTGTTTGTGGCGCCAAATGCCAGGAAGAAATGAAGCTTAGGCATCCCTCTGTTGGTTTTTCAACACTACCAATGATTAATGTTGCTGTGCTTGGAAGAGGTGTTGGGAGCTCGGATTTGAAATTTATGTAATTAAAGTGACTCAGTGTTTCCAAAGCCTGGGAGCTGCAGGAGAGGCTGCTTGTCAATGGCCGTGCTTTGTTCTTCTCCTGATGGGCCCATGGGAACCTGGATGGGGAGAGGGAGCCATTCGGAGCATTGGCTGTTGCTGTTCTTGTCACTTACAGCTTTCCAGTGCTGCGTTCATCTTTTCCTATGTGCCCTGAATCAGATGTAGATATGGAAATAGCTCACACGTGTTCTTTCAAAGGCGGTTGAAGATTCCTCACCAGTGCCTCCCAATCTTGGAAATGATAGCACAGTAATAACTCTGATGCACAGCTCTGAGGCTGGGCATGTGATGTTCCTTTTAGGGCTTTATCTCACTTTTTTTGGAGCCTGATGAGGCTAAAATAAAGTGAAGATTGGTATTGATTGTGTCATTCAAAACTAAAGTTCTTTTCGCGTGGAAAAAGGGGAGAAAATGGATCTCGATTAGGAGTCTGCTGTGTGTGAAGCCTTGTGTTAGGCTTGTTTCAGTTTTAGGGCTCAGGTTACCAAGAAAGGTTGGAATCCATCAAGTGCCTGGTTCTCTTTTAAAAATATATAAATATAAATTATATATAGTTTTATTGATTTCAGGGAGGAAGAGATAGCAACATCAATGATGAAAGAGAATCATTAATCAGCTGCCTTCTACATACCTTCCCTCACCCCCCAGTGGGGATTGAGCCCGCAACGCGGGCATGTGCCCTGACCGGGAATCGAACCATGACCTCTATGGTCAACCATTGAGCCATGCTGGTTGGGCGAGTTATCCTGGTCTCTAGCACAGGATAACTCCAGGGGGCACTCTTGGCATTTTGAGCTGGAAAGTTCTTGTATGAGACTGTGCCCTGACTTGTGGGGTATTTAGCACTCCTGACCCCTGCCCTCTCAGTGCCAATAGTTCTCAGACATTATAACTGTCAAATGTACCCATTGCTGGTTCAAATCCCACTGTAGCACGACATTCCTATTGCTGGCTCTGGCAATAGGCTTTCAATAAATACTGTTTGAATACTTTTCAGAGAACAGATATGTGGGTTCCATCTCTGGGCATGTGCCTCTGTTGAGGTAGACTAGAAGATTTTGTAAGTTAGTTTTGTGTTTTGATTAGCTGAGATTTACATAATATTTTATGCTTGTGAAATAACAAATATTTATCTTATTCAATATCATTGGAATAAAGTTACTTCTTGTCATTGATTAAAAACATATGTATCCCATAGAGGTGATGGCTTAATTTTACTTACCTTTTCCTCTTATGCATTATTTCATCATGCATAATAGTCAAGAACATATGTATTTTACATTTCCTCATTCCATTTTCTATTTCCTTTCAACACATCATTTTCCTAAGACAAGATTTTATGGTAGGAATTTAGAGAAATGCTGATTACAACAAATAGCTTGAACTTCACTTTTCCCTCGGCATTAGCGGCTCTGTATACATATAGCTGGCTGTCAAAGAATACATAAACATTTCATATTTTTTGAAGTGAAATTAAACCAGTCGGTAGTATTTCTTGGCAAACCTAAACTGATAATGGAGGTATTATTCTTTGCTAAGTCTTAGCCATATAATACCAACCGAGCATAATGACTTCTGTGGACTTACTAATAAAGGTGTCATAAATGCACCTTTGAAAAGTCTCTTGCATTTGAGTGACAGAAGAGTGAGACTGGGGAGTCATGCAAGCATGCATCCATTCATCCAACAGTTATTGACAGTACTTGGGGTAAATTAGTGAAGAGCACAGATATCATTTCTGCTTTCTCCCTAGCACAAACGAACATAAGAGAGAAATTACAAGTTGGGCTGGAAGGGCTAAGTGCTATGGGGGGAAATTAGTTGGTAAAGAGGATAGGCACGCCAAGGGTTGGGCTGGAGGTGCAATTTTAAATTATGTGGTTCCAGAAGTTTTCTTCAGAGGGTGGCTTTAAAGCAAAGAGCTGAAGGAGAAGTGAATGCTTATGGAGCCCCTGTTATGCCTCCGGTACTGTTTCAGTAGCCCTAATGGCTAGGTGTAACCTCTGTAATCTGCAAAAAATAATATGCCTGCCCAAAGGGTGGATGTCACATGAAGGCGAGAATTCGGCAAACCTGTCTGTGCAATACGTTCAGCATTGATTAAAAAAAAAAAAATCTTTTTCTTTTTTTTTTAAATGGCACCTATTTTGGGAAGTAGGATTGCAGTGGATAAACTTTTTTTTTTTTTTTTTTAAGCAGATAAGTACACAGACTGCTAGAAACCCAGACTTTGTTTTCAAAAAGAAATAGAAAAATAGGGCTGAGCCTGGAATGAGGTTTGTGTCCAAGTCCAGTGGTCCAGACAGAATGGTTGCTTCTCCCCAGCCGGTGACATTATGAAGCTGACAGGTATCCTGTGGGGATGACTGTGACAAAGCAGGAGATGTGGCTCAGAGTAAGGATTTTTTTTTTGGGGTGGGGGAGGTGTGGAGAAAGCTTTAAGAACAGCGGAGCGGGGTCAGGAGTTGTCCCTGCCGCTGTCGCTGACCAGCCCTGGGTCTTGGGCCGGTTGGTGTAGCTCCTAACTTTTCAGAATGACCATGAATGTGTAATTTCTGTACATCCTCTTGTTTAGTGAGATAAGTTGTAAGACAGGAGGAGGGAGGTGGACTTCACAAGATAACCACTAAAGTCCTTTTCTAATTCTTGAGTTCTTCTCCTTGATTTGTCAGTTTGAAGATACAATTAGACCAATAGCTCAGGAATTGAAGCCAGGCCAGAAAAGATGGTAATTTGGGGGTGTCTTAGCTTTAGCCATGTAATAGGGCTGGCTCTGGAATCCCTGGATGTCCCTTCCTTCCTGGCATCTTGCGTGATGTTAAGAAAATCACATCCTACTTGGTATTTTGGGGGCTGGCTTTCCTCCAATCTCACTTGTACAAATTGCCAGCCCTATATTTCGCTTATTTCTTGAACTCCAAAAAAGACTACCATGGAGTTAGTAATAATAGCTGGAGGAAAAACAAGGTATTGACCTTGCTCTAGGCAAAGTCCAGTTCTTCTCTTTCTCGTTTAGCCTTCCATAGTGAAAGAACCTCAAAGATGGTCACAAGGACTTTGACCTGTAATGAATTTATTGACTGATGGCCCTAATGGTCCCTTTCAGCTCCAAAGTTCTAAAATGCTCATGTGATCAGAGCTAAAGATGTGTGCTTTTGGATAGACAGGTTTCACCGGGGCCTACATTATCAAAGGACACCGGCATGGCTCAGTGGTTGAGCATCAGACTATGAACCAGGAGGTCATGGTTCGATTCCCTGTCAGGGCACCTGCCCAGGTTGCAGGTTCAATCACCAGTGTGGGGCATGTAGGAAGCAGCCGGTCAATGTTTTTCTCTCATCATGGATATTTTTACCTCTCTCTCCCTCTTCCTTCCTCTCTGAAATCAATAATCTATTTTTTTAAAAAGGACTCATGTACTGAAGACATCTGAGCTGACCCAGGCAGCAGTTGTCTGGGTGATGATGATTTCTCTCTCCACTTTTCTCCGGTCCTGTGGTTGAAGCTCTGACTCTCCCCTCCTTGCTATCTTCCCATTGTGTAGATGATGAACCAGGTGGAAGGCCAGCAGAAGAACCTGGTGCACGCCATCGAGTCTCTGCCGGGTTCCGGCCCCCTCACTGCCTTGGACCAGGATCTTCTGCTCCTGAAAGCTACCTCCGCTGCCACCCTCAGCTGCCTTGGGGAGTGCTTCAACTTGTTGCAGCAGAGTGTGCACCACGTGGGCCAGGCCAGCCACAAGCCAGTGGCCTCAGGTGAGACCTCCTAGCGGGCAGTTCTGTGCTTACAAATGAATCCTATCGAAGTGTGTGGGTGGGGGCGTCCCCCCATTGCCTTCCTCCTTTACACTCATCTCTTATCCACCATCCATCCATCCATCCACCATCCATCCATCTATCCATCCATCCATCCACCATCCATCTATCATTCATCATTTTACTCAATCCAAGGGTTTCTCCATTTATCCCTACCCTTTTCCCTACCCAATATGAGATATACTGTTCTCTTACCAATCAAAACTATAACATCCTATGAAACATCTAACTAACATGTTTACAAGAACACCTTTTAGACTTGCTGGCATCCTATTCTAAATTTCATTCCATTTGTCATGTGTTTAAAATCCATCAATAGGCAGCATTTGGTCTGTTATTCCTTACAATGCCCCGGGTGTGTGTCCACCACGTTATACCCAACACTCGCCGATGATGGACAGGCATATGGCCTCCTGCCCTCTGCCCCGCTCACCTCGCTGCAGTGAGCATCCTCCTGCCTGTCCCCTTATGGACCTGTGTGAGAATTTCTCTGGAATACGTACCAGAAGCGTTTCTAGTTATTTATCTAGAAGTCAGAGATAATAATCCACTTCCTTAAGATGCCTCAGTCCCTATTGGAGGAAGGTTTAATCAATAAGCAGATATAAATATATTGATGAAGATTAAGTTCTGTGATAAAGGTGAAACTAGTTTGAGGTTGGCCATGTTTAACTTATAAAGCATTAGAATGAAGAGACTCACAGAAGCTTCACTGAGCTTTGTTGACTGGGATTAACTTATTAATGAGGAAATGAGGGCACTAAAGCTGTTCTATGATGATAATTTATATTTCAATATATATTGCTCTCTGTTTTACTAAGATCAAAAGGGATGTTGGTTTTCCAGAATAGACAATGTACGGGTCATTTGGGTTTCTTTCTGTAACACCCACTATCATTTACCGAGGTTTGATTCTACCAGTGTTTGGTCTTCGCTACTTATTTTCTGAAATCTTCACAAAGTGGATATTATTATGCCCATCCTTTAGATGAGTTGCAATGAAATTACTTGTCCAAGGTGCCCCCCCCCTCCTGCTAAGAGGCGAGAGATGGGCCCACTGGGGCATGGGCACACGTTCAGAGTGAGACTGGAGGCTTCCCAGTGCATTCCCTCTCACACTGTAGCATGACTTCTAGCCTCTGCAACCCAAGAGGCTCCTTCCAGGGGTCTTTCGCTGTCAATGTAAGCTTGAGCCATTTCTTTTTCCTAGACTTAATCCCTTGTTTCATTCCTCAGGGATGGTTTCTAGATAATTTCTATCTTTTTTTAACCCTGATTTTTATTGGGTATCGTGTGTTTTTAAGGACCTGGAGGGACGAAGCTCAAGGTGGAATTTCAGATGCGCTGGCAGGTTGGAATGGAAACTATTTGAGAGAAGGAGCGATCATGGCACCTATGGTGTTACTCCTGCATATCTTCCCTGCTCCCTCTGCCCAGCCTCCCTTCCTTTCAGCCATTTTTGTTGAGGAACTTGGATGGAGATTGGGGAATACAGGGAGCATGGCATCACAGTGGTTGTTTTGTTTCTTTGTCTTCTTAACCCTTTTAATTCAGTTGCATCTAACACAGCCCCTTAAGGTTTAAAGCCTTCTGCACGTGTCTTTTAAATCTGTGCCACGGCCCTGGCCCGTGTGGCTCAGTTGGTTGGAGCATTGTCCCGTACACCAAAAGGTGGCGGGTCTGATTCTTGGTCAGGATACATGTCCAGGTTATGGTTTTAATCCCCGGTTGGGCCATGTGATCAATGCTTCTCTCTCTCTTTCTCTGACTTTCTCTCCCTCTCTCCCTTCCCCTCTCTAAAAAAAAAATCAAAACAATAAAATCAATAAATAAAATTTTAAAATCGGTGCCACATATTGAGGGGGAAAAAATGGAATTAATTCCCTGCATCCAAAACATCGTAGTTGCCTGCAGTTAAAACTGAATTCCAGAATCTCAGACTAGTGGAAGGAGAGACTGTGGTAACCACGGGGGTGTCATCACAAAATACATTTGTTTGGAATCTCAGGGATTTTGGGGTGGATGACAGCTCTAGCAGCCCGACTCCCACTGATAAACACACAACAGTTCTATGTAAGGCGGGCCAGTCCGGGCTGGGCTGGTGGAAATCAAAATCTCATTAAAGCTCAACTCTGCCAGGGTTTCCTTTACATATTCAGTGGGCAGGGAGGCCCAGCTCGCCCCCCGCATACCGAATATCCAAGCGCCTCGTTCTAGCTTCAAGTCTTTCTGCCTTCTGACCCTTGTGCCTCCCCCCTCTCCCCCTTCTGTCCCTTCTCCAAATAAAAAATTAATCTGTGGTCTTGTAGTATTTCATCTCCTGGAGCATTTCATTGCATCTTCTGGGAAATGTGTTGCTTCTGGAGCCTTGGTCTGCAAACGCTCATTTCATTTTAAGCACACCGAGGCGCACCTGGACCGAAATCCAAAAATACTTTCATATTCATCTGCCTCCCACCCATGCATGTGGGGCTGCTGGGCCTGTCTCTGCTGCTGTCTCTAAGATGCAGTGAGCTGAAATGCCTCATTGAACTTGTGTTTGTGGAGAGGCTTGTAATTAAAATGAATAAAGCTGCTTGGCTTTTTGGTCCAGGCTTACGTGACGTGGCTTTCTTCTGCTCCTGGTGATTTCTAAATCTGTTTCAGCAGCTTGATGGAGGCACATGATTGATGAGTGCGGGGCAGACGGCCATCTCCCTTCCCAGCTGAGATGCAAGCCTCTGATTATGTGCAGAAAGGCACATGGGACTGCATCAGAACTGGAAAAGGCTGGTCTCCTTGGGAGTGTGGTCTTTTTTTTTTTTTTTTTTTTTTAATTCTTGAGACGGGGGGAGAGAGGGAGAGAGAATGAGAATATTAAAATTTTATAGGAAGAACAGGATTCAATAGAGTGAGGATTAAAGTGAGGCAAGTGAGATAAAGTCCTATACTCTTTGGGGCGGACATTAATTTTTATTTTTATTTATTTAAAAAATATATTTTATTGATTTTTACAGAGAGATAGAAACATGGATGAGAGAGAAGCATCGACCAGCTGCCTCCTGACACCCCCCACTGGGGATGTGCCCACAACCAAGGCACATGCCCTTGACTGGAATCGAACCTGGGACCCTTCAGTCCGCAGGCCGATGCTTTATCCACTGAGCCAAACCAGTCAGGGCTAATTCTTACTTTTAAAATATCATTGACCTGATTGCTGAGTGTCTTGGGGGCTCTTTACGTTTTACGTTTGATGGGCTTGTCTTTTTACGTGAGCCTAGTCCCAGCCCTGCTCAGCTCTGTTTAACTGGGTTCATTGCTCACCACTAGTCCTTTTAGAAGTGACTTCTCCCGCCTTGAGTTCTTAATTTCTGCCGCTTTTCGTTATATATTGGTAGATGTCCTCCAGGAGTGTCCTGCCCACCAGGATGTTGCATGTTTCCGAGCCTCTTCAGTGCTGCTAAAAAGGCATAAAGTGTAGAGTTTAAGGGTCTGGGCTCTGATCTTAATTCTACCACTTAACTGGCTCTGTGCCGCTGCTGCTTACTTGTCTCCTGGGCATAATAGCAGGACCTGCCTCATGGGTTGCCTTAGCGTTAGATGAGTTAACACACGGAAATTGTATAGCCCTTGGCATCTAGCAAGAGCTCCGGAAACGTAGGCTCTTTAGCAGAGGGAAGGTCATTTGGCCGAGGAAGAGCATTATCCTCCAAGCCCTTCACCCCCCGCCCCCTCCTCAATCCATAGGTTCACCTGCACTTTTCATCTATTCGCCTTCTGGCATTTAGTGTTGTAGCAAAATTCAAGACTAGTTTGATTTTTTTTTTCCTCTCCCCTTTAAGACAAGTCTAATTTTTCTGCCTAAATGATTGAAAATGTTTTCCCTCTTGATTTTTGTTATTTAAAAATGTGGCAACACTTCATGAGCTAGGCATTCGTTAAACTGTCCTGTGTGTCTGCTTTTGCATGAGTTTGAAATTTCAGGCCCAAAAAGCCTAAGGAAGTATTGCCAAGCGCCGGCTGGAAGGCAGCAGACGGTTTCAGCAGCACCGACAGCGCTCTCCGGCTCCGGCTCCGGCTCCGTTTCCCTCTTCCTCTCGTTGCTTATTGTTTCTTCTCCATCGACCCAACGTCTGCCCTTCAGGGTCTATTGGATCTCTGTTGGGCACGTTCCTATGGCCTCCTGTCTGATCGCTGTCTTTGTGCCCTTGGCCACTGCACACCAGTAGAACCGCCTTATTTGACTTTCTACAGGGTTGAGTCGACTTTTTCCTAGTTTCAGGGTTCCTTTTAGTTACATTAATTTCATATCCTCGTAATAATTCCACAGTGCATTCATCTCCTTTTCCACCTCAGCCAGAGAGAGATTTCTTCCTGGAAGCCTTCTGAGGATACTGTTACTCCTTACCACCCTTTTCATTCACTCTGTTAGAGTTTTCCTCCTTCATCCTCATATGACACCTGTCTATCCAGACTCCCCAACCAGTGCTCATTTATTAGAGGAGCTGTAATGGTCTGAGAAGGGCTTCTCTCCTGTCCTCGCTCCCTGGTTCCTTGATACTCTGAATCCACAGAGGATACAAAAAAAACTACGTTCCCCAGCATGCATTGCTACCTCCCATCCTCCTGTCCTGGCCTTTGTCTATTCCAGGATGCAGGATATCACCGCCTCTACTTCTTGCTCTGCTGTCTGCTGGTTATTATCTCTGATGATGGTGGGATGAAGGGGAGGGAGGGACAAAACTGAGAGGGATGGGGTAATGGAGGGAACATTCTCCTGTCTGCCTAGACAAGCAGATCTCATTCTTTCTCCGGTGCTTTTTAAGCTTTCCTAATTAATCTAGAGGACATGCACTATTTGTGTAATAAAATAAAACTTTAAAAAAGTAGTACCTCTGTATTGATGATCTGAATGCAACTTTAGGACTCCGGGCAGGAGTTAGCAGGACTGCTAAGAAGCATCTTGTCACCTTTCTTATGGCAAATTCTCCTGTCTTGCACCCGAGTCTGGTCTTAGATTGTTCTGCAGCAGTTGATTTTAGTGTTGTGAGTTCTCACCTATTTTAAATGACATCAAGGACTGCTATATGGATGCCTTTTGCCTTTAAAAATTTGTGGTAAAACACCACATCTCAAAAAATTTAATATCTTAACCATTTTTAAGTACCTGGCTCAGTAGTGTTTAAAACATTCACGTATAGTTGTGTGAGCAATCGTCAAAACTTTCCATCTATACCCATTAAATTATGACTTTCCATCCCCCCTCATTCCAAGCCCTTTGCAACCACTATTCTACTTTGTCTTTCTTATTGCCATTTCTTATTTATTTTTAATTTTGAGGAGGTTGTAAAACACACTTTTTTTTTTAAAAAAAATGTATTATCTCTGAAAATCTTAATATTCATTCATTCACTCGGCACATACAGGGTATCCCAAAAAATGTATGCACACTGTAACAGCTGATAGCTCCATTTTGAAAATGAAATGTATTTTAATAAACCTTGCCTTTATAATTATGCAAACTGTGTGTATACATTTGGGAGAGGGGGATGCCCTGTATTTATTAAGTGCATACCCTTTGCTATCGATAGATCATGTTGTAGGTTCTCGGAATCACCCCGAATGCCTTCGCAGGCCAGGCCAAATGATTTCCAGGGCCTTCTACCCCTACTCGAGGGCCACAGCCATAACCAGGGGCGATACATCCCGCCTTCAAGTAACTGACCTTCTAGAGAACAACGCTGTTAAATAAAAGAGCAGGGCGAGTCCAGATGGTGCTCAGTGCTGTGAAGACAGTAAACGGATGTGACAGGGAGTGGCTCTCTGTGCTGATTTGGCCAGAAAGGGGACAGGGGTGGGGGTGGGGGTGGGGGGGGCTTTGCTGAGCAGGTGACATTTAGGCAACCCCCAGATTTCTGCAGGCCACCACTCTCCCCCCACATCGGCCTGGAGGGGAGGCACTCCGAGCAGGAGCAGCAGCACACACAAAGGCTGTCGACTGGAATGAACTTGGCTCACCGAGGAGTGAAAAAATTATCAGCATGGCTTGAGGATAGAGAGCCACGCAGAGGGAATGAAATGAGGCTGGCAGTCTCGCAAGGCAGGCGGTTTAGATTGCGTTTCATTTGCAGTGTGAAGCCACTTGACGCTTTTAAGCAGCGGAATTATATGGTACAACGCTTGACATAAAGGAAAGATTTCTGCATAAAAATATGTTGGTTTGGATATTGAACACATTCAGATACAGGCATAAGCACGTGGACAGCCCCTGCAATGGCCTCTGTTACTGTGTTTTTATCAGCCAGACCCCCTCCTGGTGTTAAAGTTTGGGATACTTATAGATTTTTCTTTGAGTCACTCGAGTGAAAAGGCTGAGGCATCTGACTGCTTTAAGGATAGAACCTCTACGATGCTGGAAGGTTGACCGTCCACATGAGATGGTCTCTGCTCCAGCCAACTGTTTCTTCCTCACTTACCCTCCATTTACACTGAAAACAGAAGGTGGGTCAGCTGAGTTCGAGACCTACTCTCGTTCTAATGGCAGAATTGCTATTAAAGAGGTAAAAAAAATAAACAAAACAAAACCACCTCTGGTTATTCCTGTCCTCAATTGTAAGCATGTGCAAATATTCTGTAATAACATGTGACACTTAAAAAGACATTCCAGTTAAATAGCCTGTTTTGTCAAGGATAGGGAGAAGATTCAGAAATGCTCTCTGTTTACCAGGTTGGTGCTTATAAAGTGTTTCTTGACAGAATGGAACGAGTACATCTAAGCTGTGGCCATCATATCAAGTGACATTCACACCACATTCTGAGCAGCCCAATTTTGATAAAATTAGATTTTTTATTTTTTATTGTGAACATTAAATTTTTTTTTTGTATTTTTGGTTAAAAAAAGAAGAGAAACACCTTTAAGAAAATGACTTCGGCCTTGGCTGGGTGTTCAGTTGGTTGGAGCATCATCCTGTACACAAAGAGGTGGCGGGTTCGATTCCCAGATAGGCACATACTTACGTTGTAGCTTTGATCCTGGGTTGGGACACAAATGGGAGGCAAATGATCGATGTTTCTCTCTCTCATTGATGTTTTTCTCTTCCCCATTCCTTTCTTCTCTCTCTAAAATCAATAAACATATCCTTGGGCATGGTTTAAAAAAAGAAAAAGAAAATATAGCTTTGGTAAAATGTCAGTTTGTGTTCAAGGCTGGGGAGAGAAACAGCCTATGGTGATTCTGAGGCTGCCATTACATAGAAGCGAGCTTATAAACAGACAATCTGAATCCACGCTTGGTACTCGCTCAAAACAAGCTTCCCTTAAATTCTCCGCAGTCCATTCAGGAGTGGGCCCATTTCAAGTCACTCCTTGTGTACAACTAGGTAGAACTATTTCTTGAGCTGTGAATGTGCAATTTGGAAAATACTTGGCATCAATCTAGGTCTTTATTTCAGAAAACATCCTGGGATGGCCCGGGCCCAAGTCACATTCCACAGAGCAGCTGAAAAATGGGACATTTGGCTCTTTGCCATCCGCCAGTGCCAACATAACCTGGGCAATCTTACCCAACACTGCTGAAGATGAACAAGCCTTACAGCCAGAGGTAAGCGAGCAGTCCTCTCTTGGCACTCCGTCGCCTGTGTAACCGCTTGTTCAGAAATAGAATAATTATATTTGTAACTTGCTCATCGCTTCGTTGTAAGGGGAGACAAAGTATAAAGCGAAAGGCTGCCCAGAGAGACAAAAACCAGCCCTGCGATTGCACGCCTGGCACTTCCGTCCTCATGCCTGGCAGCCTCCGCGGGTGAATTGTGAGCCTCCCAATGAGGCACCTCTCCTTTTCATTGAAACAGGAGTCATTTTAGCTTCCAGTTAAAATGCTCACATGGCTATTAAAGTGATGCCTGATGACATGACGGGAGCAGTTACAATATATTCTGTCACTTCGGACAATGGCTTCTTTGTGTGGTTCGTGCTGAAGATCCTGCCTCACATGCCCGACTCCCGCATGCTACAGACCAGGCCGGGGTCCATGGGGCAGCGGCCGAGCCTTCTTCCTGGCGTGGCACTGCAGCCCAGGTCCAGGCTGCGGGAGACCCCTGTCCTGCCTGGTCAGGAGGAGCAGGCCCTGCAGATCTGAATGAACAGTCAGGCTCTGACTGGCATCGTGGACCCCATCATCCGCCCCCACGACTCTCCTGACTCCTAGTGCCTCTCGGTGGCAGCTGGAAGCCAGGAGCCATGGTTCCTTTTGTCAGTTTCATTTTGGATCAGAGGAGAATTTTGCTTTCTTCTTTTTCTCTTTGGATGCTCATGTCCTGTTGACATGATCCCATGACCTGGGCCGATACCCGCTTTCACCATGTGTTAGAGGCTATTCTTCATTTTAATTGAAATCGCTTTAGTCTGAAAGTTCCAGAACACTCACTGTTGTGTAAGGTTGAAAGGCCTAAGGCAGCTTCTTCAATCAAATGGTCTTGGTGATCAATTGAAATGGCTCTCCATGCTTCACACAATTGCATTCCGACAACGTCCTGGTAGCTTAGCTCTCGTGGAGGCGGGATCAACCTGCCTACAGATATTTCATCGCTGTCGATATGGTGCCTTTGCAGGGTAAGAAATGGAGAGGGATTATGGGATATTGAAAGGCATTGGCCTCTACTTGGATAATGAGTTTCAGGTTGAAAGCACTTACACTGGTGTGTAGGCAAACCGGTAGGTAAGTTGGCAACTGGGTAAATTTAAGGAGCCCCGCTGTGGTATTGCTCTTTGGAGATACTTGGGTGGGTTGGCCTTTGAGGATGGGGTGCTTTGCTGCTAATGAGTTGAAAAAATACAATTCCCTTTATTTTTTTGGAAAAGAATCTTTGGGGATTCACATCATAATAAACATATGTAATCTCTTGCTCGAGTTAGAAATTGATAGAGTAGAGAAGTAAATTACTAGACCTTAAATAATAATTTTTATGTATTTATTTTTTTATTGTTAAGAGAGGAAAAGAGAGGGAAAGAGATAGAAACGCCAATGACGAGAAAGAATCATTGATTGGCTGCAGGAGCCCGCAACCCTGGCATGTGCCCTGACCGGAAATCAAACTGTGATCTCCCGAATCATAGCTTGATGTGCAACCATTGAGCCACGTGGGCCGGACAAGCAATACTTTTTATTTTAAAAAAATATATATTTTATTGATTTTGTACAGAGAGGAAGGGAAAGAGATAGAGAGTTAGAAACATTGATGAGAGAGAGTCATCGATCAGCTGCCTCTTGCACACCCACTACTGGGGATGTGCCCGCAACCAAGGTACATGCCCTTGACCGGAATCGAACCCGGGACCCTTCAGTCCCCAAGCCGACGCTCTATCCATTAAGTCAAACCGGTCCCGGCAGCAATACTTTTTTAGATCCTCCCTCTCAGCAGCATTCTCAGGCAAAACCTACTAAGCTTACTTATTCCTACTGGGGTCTTCTTTTGTGACTCCTCCTTAGTGTTTCTTTTCCTAATGGTTCTTCCTCTGACCCTGAAGTTTGAGAGACCAGGTCTATTCTTTTTACATAAAATTGTGGCCCACGCATCGGTACCTTTGGTAAGAGATAGTATATAATTGTCCACGAGAGGTAACGAGCTCCCAACTTCAATTAAAAAAAAAAAAATACCCTGAACAAGAACTAGGGAGAGCATTTTCCCCTTAAGGTAGGACCAATTATTAATTTCTGGTTGTCATTTTTGCCCTTCTGTTGTGAAAGCAAAACAAGATATTGTTTGTTAGGATGTGATGGGGTGTAATGGGGTTTTGATGGTTTTCCGAGGAGGGAGAATTAGAGTTCTTTTTCAGACTCCCCTCATTTTTTCCAGTGACAATTCTGGAAGATGATTCTCACAATCCAAACAGCTAGTGCTGCCTGGATGATATTTTTATTTTAGGAGATTGTGCTTTGTTACATTTTTTTTAAGAGTTAAAGAAGCTAGCAATATCTACCCAATAGTTTTCCCGTCAGAAAAAGAAAAATATTTCCATTGCCTCCCTTTTGTGCAATTTGGAGAAATAACCCAAGAAGGAAGTGAAATTCTTAAAGGCTGAAACTTCTTTGTGAGATGGTTCCTTAACCCTTTTGGCATTGAGAATATAGGTGAATGATCACTAGAAAACTAAGATTGTAGTTAGTATGGTACTTTAGCTAATTACTCTTTTTGTTTATTGTTTGGTCATGGCAGATCATTAGAAATAATAATTAGAGATTAAAGATACCTCCTGTGTGTGTGTGTGTGTGTGTGTGTGTGTGTACCACTATGTGTGTGTAACACCACCAAGCAATAAAATAAATCCAATTCTCATTGGACACAGACTGGGTGTCCTCTCTGGAGACAGTGTCAGATCCCACAAAGTGTAAGGGCTCAGTCCTACAAGACTGCCCCCTTCCACCCCCCCCCCCCCACACACACACACACATACTTCAGATGCCAGTCATAACTTCAGTGTCACCTGTGCTTCTGATTAGCCAACTATAGATCAGAGGTTCCCATGACCCCTTCCTCCAGTTTGATTAATTTGCTGGATTGGCTCACAGAAGTCAGAGAAGCATTTACTATTTTATTAAGAAACGATTTCCCTAGCCGGTTTGGCTCAGTGGATAGAGCATCAGCCTGTGGACTGAAGAGTCATGGGTTCGATTCTGGTCAAGGGCACATGCCTGGGTTGTGCGCTTGATCCCTCGTAGGGGGTGTTCAGGAGGCAGCCAATCAATGATTCTCTCTCATCATTGATGTTTCTAGCTCTTCCTTTCCCTTACTCTCTGAAATCAATAAAGATATTTTTTTGAAGGATATAATTCAGGAAAAGATGGAAGAGATGCATAGGTCGTGGTGTGGGGAAAGGGTGTGGGGCACCACTCACCAAGGATTCCATGTGTTCACCAACCCAGAAGCTCTGAGCCCTGTTCTTTGGGAGCGGGAGAGGAGTTGGAGACTTTCTTACAGAGGAAGGGTTGATTAAATTATTGCCCTTTAGTGGCTGAACTCAATCTCCAGCCTTCCTCCCTTCTCTGGAGGTCAGCCATTTTCATCCTTAGGTCACCTAGGGGCTTTCCAAAAGTTACCTCAATAACATACCAAAAGATACCTTTATCTCTCATCTTTTAGGAAATTCCATTGGTTTTTGGAGCTCTCTGCCAGGAGAGCAAACAAAGACCAAATATTTATATTTAAATTATAAATCAGTGTCACACTCCCTGGGTCTGGCTTATCATAAAATAACTTACAGGTGTCTGGGAAATTAATGCATTTTCAAGATTAGTCTGTTTTTAATTCCCAGCAGAATAAAACTCAAAAGACCAGTGTGTGTTTAATGCATGAATTAGAACTGTGGTTGGCTCTGTTATCAAATGCAGTGATCTTAACATTTCATTCTGCTGGGGCTAGAGCTAACTCAATGTAAAAATGAAATATTCTTCCATAATGAAATGAGTCAGGATCTTAGTAGAAAGTTTTTCAACTCTTTCAACACCGTTTGAAAATTTTAGACAGAAAAAAATGGTTTTTGTTTGCTTTCTTTGTTGAAGAATGCCTTGTTTCAGGACAGGAAGGGCTGTGATTGGGGAGATACTGAGGATGGGGTCTCTTCTAGTATTGGAACCTCATTCCACCCTCCTCATTGGAAACCTAACACCTCCAGGTCTCAGACTTGCTTACGGCTAGGTTACTAAATGCATGACAGGTTTCATAAATGCATCTGTGTGAGGTTAGGAAGCCTGCAATGAAGACCCACCCAATTCTCCTGCTAGTGCCACTGGCAGGCAAGGTCATGGAGATGTGAGTGGTTAGAGGTTGTAGCAGTGGCTAGACTCACTGTTCTAGGATTCTGGTCCCACCTGCATTGTCAGAGGAAGCTGCTATGGTGGCAGCTGCTTCCTGACATTTGGCTTATGGCTCCTACAAAGATGTGTCCTTGAATCAAAGAGTCTAAGGGGGACTTCTCCTCCTCCAGATCTCTCAGTGACTCCATAAGCACCTAACTAATGCGTTTGCCACCCACTGATCTAGGAGGTAGGGTCTTTAAGTGGCAATCAAGGTTAAATGAGGCCTTAAGAATGGAGCCCTAATCTGATAGAACTATCCTATATAATAAAAGGGTAATGTGCAAATTGACTGAATGGCGGAACTACTGGTTGCTATGACACGCACTGACCACCATGGGGGCAGACTTTCAATGCAGGAGCACACAATGTCAGTGTGCTCCCACAGGGGGAATGCTGCTCAACCAGAAGTCAGGCTGAAGGCTGGTGAGCCAGCTGTGGTGGCAGGAGCCTCTCCTGGCTTTGTGGCAGTGCTAAGGATATCTGACTGATGGCTTAGGCCCACTCCCCTCTAATAGCCTTATAAGAGAAAGAGAGTCCCTCCTCGCTCTGCTCTGGGTTTAAACAGTCTAGTCTCTGGTATTTTGTTATGGCAGCCGGAGCTGACTAAAGCACTCAGTTTATTAACTCCATGTATATTTCACAATAGTTAAACAGCAGGTTCTCAAAATAAGGTCAGCGTGTTTAATGCTGTTTTGTTAGAACATTGATGAGATGCTGTAGGAATTTCAGTCTTGTTTATAACAATT